TTGTACTTGATGGTTTTATTCTCATGCCTAATGGTGGAGGTGCTAGAACATGTAATATACCGTAGAATGTTTTGATGAATCCGTGGACTTTCTTTACTTGGAAAGCTTTTGTGGGTTCTTCCCTCACCAGCATATGATTGCAAACCTCCTATTAAAATAAGTTCAAAGGAGAACTTTTATGAAACAAAATAAGACTTTATATTCCATCGAGTATCATTGAGCACAATGATGTATCTATTTGATTAAGACACCTTGATATGAGAGGAGAAGGAAGAAATTAAAAACCAAACCCAAGAAACCCCTCAAAAGCTTGCTGGCTGGCTAGCTAGCTAGAGGCAAACATTCTACAAGTCCCGGTTTATTTACATGTATGGGGAAGAAAGACGCAACTTTATGAGAATCATTTCCTCCACTCTCTTGAAAGGGCAGCTACTATACATGCATGATTGAATCATTATGGGCACTTCTTCCACTCTCTCGAGCTTTTTTTTTTTTAATTATTTGCATTAGCCCCATAACATAAATTGATTAAATTATTATCATGTTTTAATCACTCAGATCTAAAGCTTGATTAGACTGTCGAGGGGCCGTAACTTTTCCATGATTTAAAGTGCATTTGTCCTGAGACCCGTTTTTTAATTCGAAGATAATAAGCAACCCATAGATTAACACCACTGATTACTATTAAGGAATTCATACAGCAACTTGTAATGTTCGATAGCTCGAAAGATTCATGATCCCAAAATACAGCGATCGATCGGCGAGAAGATGATCTAAGCCAATCGTGCCTTAAAGCCAAGGTGAGTGCTACTTTGCATTACCCCTAATGACAAAACATATATCCAATAAAGATTGAGAAATTGGAAGTGAACATCAAATCAATCTCATTTCAAACTTTTTTTTATTGATATTTTCTTAATCCTTTTCTCCTAATTATAATATATCAAGATTCTTTTTTCCCTTGCAAGAAAACATCGGTCATGATTAATAACAAGTATCTATGTATGCCTTGCACATACTTTACACAAGACTTTTTAGGACATTTCTTCGCTTTTTGAAGCGAGACACTGTGTTTTTTCCTTTAAAGAGAGCTTGCATGGTCATTTTTATTTTTTTATGTATTTACAAGGGTTTTTCAGTAGTTGGCCTAGGTTGATATCAAATAATGATCTTTAGATTGCATTACCTTTAATTTCTTCTGAGAATTTTTTTTTTTAATTTTTGGATAAATTTAGTCGACTCGCCCTTGTTTTTTCCAGGGATTCTCAATTATATTTTTTTAAAAAAAAAAATTAGTTGGAACTCTGAGTTTGTCCTTTATTTGTAGTGTACCTATATTGAGTAGACCTGTTAATTAGCTTTAGTAAGAGTATAATATAATGTAAAATTGTAACTTTAACAAATTTATTTGATAAGAAGAGTATATTAAAAAAAAATATGATAAGATCGGGACTATAATTGATAGTTTGCCTTATATTTTTAATTGTTGTATGAGCACCAAACTTACTCAATATTTTCTGAAAGTAATAGCACAATTTCTAGGGTTAATTTATTATTTAAAAAATGTTATTCTCTTGATTGTTTTAGTTTAAATTTTGAGACCAATACTCAACAGGGTTTTTTTTTTATGTATATCAGTTTGGTGTGAATAATATATCCTTAAAATCATCTCATAAAATATAATGATACCTCTTCATATATGTAATATCACACCTTTTAGCCAGCTTGCTATACCACCAAAAGGTGTAAGATCAAAACCAAATTAATTTATACAAAATATATATTGGTGACACTAACAATGAACTTCTTTTCAATATATATGGACACCCGGATAATCAATAGCAAAAGGCTTCAGGCAATCCTCCTGCGCACGATGAATGCTCTTCACTTTGGCGATGGGTTAGGCCAATAAGATTCTTCATGCATGCTACACTAAATCACAACACTTTTGGAATATGAAATCACGTCATACTCCTACAACCAAAAATATTGAGTTTAAGAGAGTCTTTAATTAAAAAAATAATACTACTTACAATAAAGGGAAGAAACGAATGATCAAAGTTCATTGAGTTCACAATGCATTATAGCATAGAAAATTCTTGAAGGATGAGATTAAGCATGGCTATGGTATTGTTAAAGAATTATATAAATTATATTTTTGAATCTTATCAGATAGTTTAAAATTTTAAATTGAGATGATTTTCTAATATAATAGCAAAGTTTAATTAATTAAGTAATCATGAATTCAAATCTTATATTATTTTCATTCTATTTAATGAAAATTAAACGTAAACTTATACAAATTTGAAATTCAAAGGATTTTTACATAAAAAAAACATGTTAAAATATATTATAAATTATATTATGAAAATTTACTTAATAAATTAAACTTTTGGATCAACACAATTATTTGAAAAACATAATGCATGTGATGATTGAGATTATAAATGTGGTATGCACACACAAGCAAATATTATAATTAAAACATGATTTAATGCCAACATAATCTGTAAAGCTCCTTGAAGGATGAGATTTTGTTAAAGAATTATATAAATTATATTTTTGAATCTTATCAGATAGTTTAAAATTTTAAATTGAGATGATTTTCTAATATAATAGCAAAGTTTAATTAATTAAGTAATCATGAATTCAAATCTTATATTATTTTCATTCTATTTAATGAAAATTAAACGTAAACTTATACAAATTTGAAATTCAAAGGATTTTTACATAAAAAAAACATGTTAAAATATATTATAAATTATATTATGAAAATTTACTTAATAAATTAAACTTTTGGATCAACACAATTATTTGAAAAACATAATGCATGTGAGTTCGTGTGGTTGAGAAATCCAGTCACCGGGGAAATCATGAATTCTTAGACGAGAAATGTCCAAAAACCAATGCAAGTAAAGCCATAGCATGCCGATATCACAATGTGGATCTCATTTTTTTGAATTGCTACACCAACTAAAGCATGTTGACCCTGTAAACCGTCCCACCAATGTTTATATACCAAACTACCATTACAAAGATTGACTCATTGAGCTATGGTAAGAAAATGAAGTGAAAAAAAATCTCTCTAATGAGTGGAAGACACTGTACCCACCGAAGATTAGGAAGAGGAACGCAACAAATTAATTAAAGGTGTACAAAAGAAACAAATTAGTGGACAAAAGGATGTTTTTAGATACACTAGACGAAATGGCTTACATGTGAGAGCAGAAACATTAAAAAAGATAGTGCCCACCATGAGATAGGATTTAAAGTATAAATAAATAAAGAAGGCCGAGCCCCGAGCCTTTGTTACCATAGTTTGTTCTTGGCTTCATTTCTTGAGCCATCTTTGCATGAAAATGTGCCTTCTTTGTTTATTTTTTCGGTGCTAGCTTTCTTATCTAGTGTATATTGAAATTAAGCGAAGAACCAAGTACCCTAAAGCAAGATCTCTGGCAAATGTTGGTGGTAGTTGTTATAAAGAACCAAATACCTCTTCTTCTTGTTAGCTTTTTATGCTTTTCCCCTCTTTGGAAAGCCAATGCTAGCTCACCGAAGACATATTTCTGAAAATTTCTGCATTTGGTCCTACGCAAGATAACAGGAAGTGCCAAAATCCACTGAATTTGAGTGGTTTAGACAAAATTCATGGAAGCCCAAATCTCTATAACACATGATAGTGGTAGTGAAAAGCCCAATATCTTATAAGCAAAAACAGTAGCTCAAAAGGGGCTTGAAACCCAATAAAAAAAATGGGGTCCAAAATAAGTGATGGCAACGGTCATCTTTGATGTGCGCTTATGATGCTAGTTTTTTCGTTCAAAAAGCAATTTTGGAATTTTTTTTGAATTTTTATTTTTTTTCAAATTAATTTTTTCATGATTTTGAATTATTTTAATGTATTGATATTAAAAATAAATTTTAAAAAATAAAATATATATATATATATATATTATTTTAATATATTTCTAAATAAAAAATATTTTAAAAAATAATCACTAAATAACTTTACATTATAAGTTGGTTTGGCCTTAAAGGTTTTCAATTAAAAAAAAAGAGCAAGGTTAAAAGGACGTAGTACTATAAATTATATAGTTTAGTTGCTTAGTCAAAGAAGCTGGAGCAGTGCACAATGGATACGGACCACATCTTATCGAAGCTAAATTCAGTCACATTGATATTAACTGGTAAAAGTGAAGCTAAAACATAAATGAAAGCATATAGAACATTACTCATACGCCACCACAAATCCCATCTTCCATTCTTCCTACCTGTTCCTAGTCAGAGCAAGTTTAGCTTCCTATGAGTTCTACATGAGTTGTCTGCTTAAATCTTGTTTGCAAACCTGGATGCAATTGTGGTGCAACCTGTATTTCTAAACTGGTATTTAAAAGGTACTTGGAAGCCTAGTAATGAGCGCTTTCAAAATTTTCGCCTATTATTTGATGATCTCCCTAAACAATAGGCAACATCTATTCCAACTTAATGAGAAAATACTTCCAAAAAAAATGGCATGATCATCAGAGAAAAGATTAAAAAAAAAAAATACGTGCTGCCTTTGGAATCACATAATTATGGAGGACGGGAAGTCTCAACACCCACTAACCTCATAAATATGGCAGTTGTTTGTTCAAAGTATAAGCACTTAAGGACTGCTCCACATGTCAATTTTTATGGATGCTATGGTCATTGACTAATAATGACGTTCAGAGTATGAAGAGTCCTTCTGTTTCCATATTTTACAGAGGTAGACATCTTACCAAAATCAAATTGAAAACCATCGCTTGCTGGCCTCTTTCTTGTAATCTTCACCCTTCACATGAGCCCATCACCTCTTGTTTTTATTGCTCCTGACCCATTTGCATTTAAGTGAGTAAACCGCCGAGGGAGGGCGGGTGGCAGTTGGAAATTATGGAGCTGGCTGACAATGTCGGCAGGTGATGTGTTGCTAGCAGCCTCCTCAAAGCAGAACTCCCTTATAAATCTAGCAAGCCACTTGCTATTTCCTACATTATCAGCTTAGGTTTACGTTCTTCTCTCTCATTGTAATACCTACCTAGCTTTTTGTTGCATGCGCAGAGGCTAAAAATGGAGTTCCATGTCCCATGCATTCTTGCTTTCCTCGCCGTAAGTTTCTGAATCTTCACTTGTTTTGATACACCAGGGATTGGTCTTTCAGGAGATTTTCTGTTCCCAATTCTTCACCTGCATTCCTATTTATAATGAGTATCTTATGAAAGTTTGTATTTAATCCTGCTGCAGTTTGCACTTGTGGTAAGCCATGCGGCCCTCCCACCTGAACTTTACTGGAAAAATGTGCTGCCCAACACTCCTATGCCAAAATCTGTCAGAGATCTTCTACACCCAGGTGAGATTTTTAAGACCTGACCTCTTAAAGACTTCCTCTTCTTTTTTCTTTTTTGGTAACACTCTTTAATAACTGAGATGAAACTTCTGCTAGTTTTTTGCCGTGTCTAAAACAAGAAAAGCACTTCTAATTGACGTTACTAAAAATGCAGACTTGGTGGAGGACAAGAGCACTGCTGTTGCTGTAGGGAAGGGTGGTGTAAATGTTGATGCAGGAAAAGGAAAGCCTGGAGGAACTGATGTAAATGTAGGAAAGGGTGGTGTAAATGTTGATGCAGGAAAAGGAAAGCCTGGAGGAACTGCTGTCAATGTAGGAAAGGGTGGAGTGAATGTAAACTCTGGGAAAGGAAAGCCAGGCGGCGGCACCCATGTCAGCGTGGGACGCAAAGGTGTTGGTGTTAACACCGGAAAGCCTGGGAAGGGAACCCAAGTTGGTGTTGGCAAAGGCGGAGTGTCGGTGGGCACAGGACACAAGGGCAAGCCCGTAATTGTTGGGGTACACCCCGGGCCAAACCCATTCTTATACAAGTATGCGGCAACCGAGACTCAACTACACCATGACCCAACTGTAGCCCTTTTTTTCTTGGAGAAAGACATGCATCCAGGAAAAATGATGAACTTGCAGTTCACTGAAAATACTAACACAGCAACTTTCTTACCTCGCCAGGTTGCTGATTCAATACCCTTTTCATCTAACAATTTGCCAGAAATCTACAGAGAGTTTTCAGTGAAACCTGGTTCAACAGAAGCTGAGGTAATGAAGGAAACAATCAAGGAATGTGAAAACCCTGGAATTGAAGGAGAGGAGAAAGAATGCGCAACTTCACTGGAGTCAATGATCGACTTCAGCACTTCCAAACTAGGAAAGAATGTTCAGGCAATCTCCACAGAAGTGGAAAGCCAAACTCAGATGCAAAAGTATACAATTAAGACCGGAGTAAAGAAGATGGCAGGAGACAAATCTGTGGTGTGCCACAAGCAGAACTATGCATACGCCGTCTTTTACTGCCATGCAACACAAACCACGAGGGCTTACACGGTTCCATTGGAGGGTGCTGATGGAACAAATGCTAAAGCTGTAGCAGTGTGCCACACAGATACATCTGCATGGAACCCAAAGCATTTGGCTTTCCAGGTGCTCAATGTTAAGCCAGGAACCGTACCAGTCTGCCATTTCCTTCCTCAGGATCATGTTGTGTGGCTTCCCAACTAGGACTCTGGACCCCAGTCATTTCGCCTCTCTTCAGTCCACGGTGGCTGAAATTGGAATGTTGTATACTTACATATCTATTCGGTTATCACAATAATACACCTAAAACCCACTACAAAAGGTCATGTATAATATAAGGATTGCCGTAGATTCAGTGAATCACGGTGTTTATGATTAGTTAACATCTACTTCTGCTGCTATTTTCCTATCCACACGAGCATTTAATGTGAAAAGAGAGACCTCCATGTGAAGAGTAAACCAGCACAAAGGGCCTACTTGAGCATTTTGTTTATCATTGAACACGAGCATTTTGTTAATCATGTCCCCGTTCCCCTCAAAGAAGATTTCGTCGTTCATAGCCGAACTAAAATTTCAACGACGAATTTTGCCGACCATTTCCCCAGCAGGAAGTCCATTTCATTACACAGCAAATCTCAAGAAGAATACCAACAGACCCACTAACTATAATTATTGACAAAGATGTTCCAAAAACCTCTGGGAATGACAGGTTAGAAAGACACCAAGTACCTAGAGAACATATGCTGAGAAACTGTGTCCAACCGAAAACCTCGTGATGTGTTGTGTGGTGAGTTCCTTGGCACTAAACCATGCCTGCAGTTGTTATTTTTCCAAGACGAGTTTTACTCTTCTAATGTCTCCCAACGTAAGTAGAGCATGTAGAAGATGGGTAGGAACAACATGAAAGCATAAATTTATATGGGGATGTTTTTTCATTATATTGGCATGCAAAACACTAAAAGAACCCGGCTTAAAATAGGGGGATAGCCCTAAAAAAACAATAACTAAATAGCAAGAAATACACTATTATCCTAAACAGCATGACATATTCCTAAATACCCTTCTAAATAACGTTATATATTTATTTATTTATTTATTTTGAAAAGATCATTAGCATTCAAATTGAAATAGCCTGAAAATAGTTCTCCTGGCTACTGCTTTAATCTCATCCACCCCTAAACTCATCGATAAAACTATCCTTCCCATGCTACATCCCAAAATTCTTATGGTGTTTATTAGCATAGCTCTGGGCTAAGGCATTCCGAGCATGTCATATTCATCTACTCTCTCGCCACCAATTATCATTCCATTATTATCACCATTTGTTGCTTCTAACTCCTTTTTCTTTCTCTTCCTCCAAACCTTACCATCCTACAATGGTGTCTAGGCATGAAATTTTCACCTCTTGGAACATTAACCTAGTCGTCTTCTTTGTCCAGGAATGTTTCGGGTTGTTTCGTATTGGCCATTATTTCATTCTTTGACTGAATAAAAGGTTTAGCACTATACTTGGATGGTAAGGCAGAAATTTGGTACAAAGGGTTCTTGTATGGAGGAGAAAATTTAGCCAGCTAGGAGCTTACAAAATAGAGAGGATGTGGTGGAAGAATTCAGCAGGTTAGCACAAGACGAGAGTGTAGATGAGTATGTGGAAAGATTTGAAGTACTCAAATCCTTAGTAAATGCTCTGAACCTTTCCCTCTAAGAATCATGCTATATTTCAAGCTTTGTAAAGGATGATATCAGACCAATGTTGAAGATCCTCAAACCTACAATGCTGGTACAAGTATTTGAACAAGCCAAATGGCAAAAGGAGTCCATTAATGCCGTAGCTAAGAGAATACGATTCTTGCATAAGAGCAATCCAGTTTACAACTTTGGAAAGACAACAGGCAACTCTTAGTATAGTGATGCTAGCTTAACCATTGTTGTACTGGTATGGAGTTTAATTTGAAGAATTTCTTGCACTTAGGTATCCAGCTCGTAGGATTCTCTCCATGGATATTTGAAGATCAATCTTGGCATTGCCATATGATGTCCCACTCGTGCTGCTCCTTGGTTACCAAAACAATCTCCTCTTTGAATCATAAGCCATCTCCTCGCAGATACGCCCTTCGAATAATACCTCCAATTATGGTGTTAACTCTATCAGTTTCCTGACTTCCTCAGTTAGCCTTCAACAGTCATTATGGCTTCCAATTGTGAGTTGATCTGATCAAGCTTCTTGCCTTCCTCCTGTAATTTCTTGTAGGTGTTGAATATGCTCATCAACCTTCCTACCATGCTCCTCTAAAGCCTTGATCTTGTTGTTTTCCACCATTGTTGATATCTCAGGATCAAAAGCAACCTTCCTTGATACCAACTGTAAGAAGATTCCATACAAGTTACTAGAAAAGGGGAGAATTGGAAGAAAATAAAGGAGAAAGATCTCGCAATATCTGCAAATTTTTCATCAATGACCACCTGGACTCTTGGCCATTCAGTCATAACTAACTTGGCCGTTATTATCTTCTAAACTAACAAACTGCAACTGATTACTTCAACTAACATATGAATCACGTGTTTACAATTCCATCACATGCTTAATATCTTCACCCTGCTGCTGCTCAATTTTCCTGCCTCAGCCAGCAGTTCACTCTTCTCCTCTAATGTCCCAGTTTACCATGCTAACTGTAACATAGATTTATTCTCTCTATCAGAAGGAATAACAAAACAAAGAAACACTATAATAATTAGAGGACACAATTATGTCAAATGCAAGACTGAAAGAGAACTTGGCCATCACACGTGCATAGCATGCCTTTGTGTTTATTTTCAGGAAAATAGAAAATGTGTAGGCTGACCAAACCACCTTCACACCCATGTGCACGTTTGTGTCCCCAGAAAAATATAAACGAGGCAAGTTTTTCAGAAGGATTTCAAAATAATTATGGTTGACACAGCCCCTTGGAAATCATGTTAAGTTACTACAGTCACAATCTAATTGTATCAAAGATAAAATAAATTACTAAACACTAATAAAACGGATCACAAACAAGAGAAAAACTAAAGCAGAATCATGGAGAGAGAGGCTTTATCCCAATTGGTGAAGAGAATTTATGAGAATAAAAGAGCGCAAAAGGAGAATAAGGAAATCTCCATGAAATTAAAAAAAGAAATCAACAGGTCATACATGCTTGAAGAAGTTTATCATAATGTTGCTAGATACTATTAACTCCAAGAAAGCATCTGAAGACCCCATCTGGATATCTACTAATATATTGGCATTCACCATGGTAAACTCCTGTGAATAGACAGTAAAATCCAATTATTCTTGTTTATTTTATTCAAATCCCAATAGCTGATGAAAAATGATCACTTTTGTTTATAATTACCCAGTTACTCATGGCATTTAGTTATTAAACCAACAAAATATGCTAAGCCAACAAACAAGCTGCAAAAGAGATTTAAGGCCTTCATACCTGATAGCTAGTCCAACCACTTGAGTGATCACCATATCAATCAAAGTTGGTTGACTTCGTAACTCATACGATGAATCTAGTTTAGAGATTTAAGGACTTCATTTATTCCAAACATAATGTCATTTGAAAGAAGACATCAACCAAACTGCAACACAAAAATTTAAGACAAATTTCAGGTAAAAAACATGAAGGGTTGGTGAGCCACACATGCTCTAAAGCCTATTGCCACAGGCCTCTCTTCATCCAGCTGGAAAGCAAGGTATTTGCTTCTATTTTAAATATTTCTAGTGAATGTTATTGAAGAAGAATTCTTCAGGTTAAAATCTTGTTATTTAAGCAATAAGCATGCCTTTGGTTTCTGCTCAGGTGGCATTTTCGTTAATTCTAAAACTACAATCATACACTCAAGGTAGATGAATATTATGTATGGCTAGAATATAGTAAAACTTAGCAAATATTTTTCATTCTGAAGATAAGACAGCAGGAAGGAGAAGTGCTTATAACCAGTTCACATGCCTGCACAGAGAACCCAAATTTCTTTAAATGTAAAAAACAATTCTGTCTCAAAAAATCATTTTATATTATCATTAAACCCAAAAGTGATTGTTTTGAAAAAAAAATTATAATGATAAATTTTCCTATTGTTTATCTTAGACAATATAATCTTTTTAACTAGAAGCATTGTTTCTTTTAAAAAACAAAAATTGTTTATGATTGTTAAAGCAAGTTAATAAAAAATATCAAAATAGTATGTTTGTATTTTGTGTGATTGAAAGCTAAAAAAATCATAAAAATAATAAAATCATTTTCAAAATCTATTTAAACATTTTAATAATAAACAACCAATTCCAATCGAATTTTCAACAATTCATTATTATTATTTTCATATCAAAAACATAATTGAAGAACAATTATTACAATTCAAATAAAAAATTATAACAATATTTAAAAAACATGTCATAACTGAATAGTAAGTGAATCCAGTAAATGTTTTTCAGAAAATAAAAAAAAAACAAGAAAAAAAAAAGCCAGCAAAAAGCCTGGTCCAAGCGGTAGATGATTTAAAAAAAAAAAAGTGAGAAAATAGAAGCACTCCCAACACTCTCGAACCCACAACTTGCGCCCTCCCCACAAGTGCCTCAGTTGATTGAGCCGCACAAAATTGTTATTAAACAAGTATTTCATTGTTTATATATGCAGTAAAGCAATGCAAGAATCAATACAAGAAAGGAGAGAGAGATGTGTAGGCAATTAAAGAGAAAGGATAGAAGAGGAAAAAATTGAGAAAACTGGTAAAAATAATTTGAAAGAGAGGCTGAGGGGAGAGTTAAATAATTGGAGTAATGGAAAACGTTAGTGCTACAGAAATTCAAGGAAAAAAGAACATAATGGTATGTTCATGTTTGTTTCTTCAATTAGCTGTCCATCAGTTTCTAGCCGTTCAGTTATGATTTCCATTGTTGTAGCACAAATAATTCCTTATCTCCGATTTTTCTTTTCTGAATGCTTATCATAGGCATCCAAAATCAGCTGTATGTGGTCACTGCACACTACAATACTTGCAAGAAATAGGAGGAGAAAACTATTGGGTTTGATATCCTGTCCACTGTTGGAAGTTATAAACAGGAAGTGCACAAACAATTGAAGAACAGAATTGATGTGGGTTCTTGTTTCCTCGTGCAAGTTGTCTTAGAGATTCATAACTATTTTGCAAGTTGTGCACCATGAGTTAAATTCTTCAGCTACAAAACAATATTGAAGGTCCTTTAAGGCAGAAATATAATTCCTGCAGCATACATTACTCTGTAAAAGGACCAGAAGACATTTTTTCACAAGCCATTGTGATGGAAACTGGAAAAATATGAAACTTCCAGGCAATGTTTGGATGACATATCCCATCCATGTCTCAGGGCACTGAGGCCTACATTTAAGCCCTGATAAACCTAGG